GGGCAATCCTACTTCTGTAGTGATACTGCCTCGGAAACCCAAGGAGGGGTCGCTATGAGTCGGGGCCGACTCGATGGCAAATAACAACAACAACATTCAAATAGGAAATAACAGTAATGAAAACACTGCAAGTTTATAAATTTCATACAATGACAGACGTGCCTTCCTTGTAACAGTTAGGAAAACTGTGACCAAATATACAAATATCTACTTTGCTTACCAAAAGGCTCTTTTGCTTACAGTAAAGTTTAAGTGCGTAATATATGCTTAATTTTTGCAAAATGAATTCATTTTAGAGCAAATATACCAATATATTGAGGATAATTTCTCAGACACAGGTGTTAATTCACTATTATAGAACTTAGAGTATAATAGTATTTTGACTAAATGCTATTTAAAAAAAAAAACAACCACCACCTTGCCATGAAGTTGATTCCGACTCACAGCGATCCTACAGGGCAGAGTAGAACTGCGCCATATGATTTCCAAGGATGTCAAGCTGTCAATCTTCACAGAAGCAGATCGCCACATCTTTCTCTCACAGAGTGACTGGACCTTTCAGCTAGCAGTCAAAGACTTAACCACTGTGCCACCAGGGGTCCCTCTAAATGCTACAGATTACTTAAACTGAAATAAATCAATTATAGGATCATGAATGGAATCAGTCAAGGATAGTCTCACAAAGATGTTCCTATAGAATATAGCTAGCTAGTTTGTTTTTTTAATCAGAAATTCAGAACCTCATCCAAAAGCATTTGTGATTTTAATAGTAAACTCAAGATAGAAAGTATATCATTTCATATTTACTTGTTTGTTTTTCTGCAATATTAGGATCAAGTGTATAAAAAAGGATTCTTCTTTTTAACATTAAGGAGATTTGTTGATGTTTTTCTCTTTGAACAAATTTAATCATTTCTTGATTGGACAGTGTATCCCTCAAACAACTGTACTATTTGCCTGATGTCAGACATCAGAATGTGGAAGTCTAAAAACCAAACAACCTAGAAGCTCTACATTTTTCAGCAAACTTAGTGAAATATTCATCTGTTACTTACATCTGCTTTCAAAAAGAAAGACTGGGTTTTTGATACTAAATTTTTGAATTACTTTCTCTCAGATATAACAGAGCTCTTCCCACCGACACTCATTCAAAAGTCAAACTGACATGCAAATTAACACCAATCTTGCTATTTTAGTTATCTGGCAATTAAGAACCTGTTTAGCTTTCCCATTATTTTGGTCAAATAATGCATCATATGAAACTAAAACAGTAAATACTATCAAGTGAAAATCTGTGCAGGATAAAAAATCTAAGTCCTTTCTAGAGCAGTAAAAGTTAAAGTTAATTTAAAAGGTATCTTAAGTGAAACCCACACACCTTCAGTAATCATGTCTTCCATCTCTGTGTCAGATGAATTATCTGCATGCTTTGAGTTATTCTGTAGCTCTGGCTGAACACACACAGAATTTATCACCTGATTATCCAAAAGGGGTCTTTTTTTCACAGGCTGTTCTATTAGCAAAGACGAACGACTCACCTTTGAAAGAGAGAGAGAATAAAATAGTTTAAAAAGATATTCACAAATAATTATTTTAAAAAACCTCTTGAAATGAATGGTATCTGATAATTTACTTGTTCCATTAATCAGATCCATTCACTGAATGCTTTATTTTTTGACAAAAGGTTAGACAATCTGGACATAAATGCTTTCTTTCAGGTCACCAGCAGTATGGCTGCTTCAAAGTCTCAGTCAAGTAGAACCTATGGTTCTAGTTTAAGCAAGTAATTAAAAAAAAAGTCTTAAAATTTAGCAATGGTCAAAATAAATACTAACCATCAAGTTATATTCTATTATAAATACTTCAGTAGCTAAGGCCAACACTGAAAAACAAAGGCAGTAACTATTAGTATGTTTAGGAGGGGTTTTGTTTGAACTTTTTCAAACACTATCCAATTAAGCAGTTTCTTTCTCAAGGAGCTACATAATTATTTTCCTTCAAAAATTTTAGGGTTTTTTTTCCATATGAATACAACACAGATAAAATATTAGCAATAAATTGTTAATTAGCCAGAATTCTCAATTAAATAATTTATTTTCTGCAAATTTTTAAGATTTACTGCTCGTGCACAAGGCACTTTAGGTGTAAGATAATTTCCTCAGGATAGAGCTTCTGAAAAGAAATGACCAGTTTAAAGGTTCTGAATTCTCAGATGACTCATGGTGCCTATTGTCAGATCACTTCAAAGACTTTTAAGTTAACTAGAAAGTTTTGCTTTCTACAACCAAAAAGTAAATTATATGTACTTTATAGATAAATAAATTAATGTTCAAAGTGTTGGGGGACTTCTTTACAAAACAGGAATCAGGAGTAGAAATCAAATCCCCTGATTCTTAATTCAGCAACCTAATCCACTATAATTACACAAAGATACAGAAAAATCCTCAAAGATTAATATTAAAATCAACAACAAAAAAAATTCACTACGTTCAATATACATGGTTAAGTCATGCAATGAATGCTACCTATTTTAGAAATACTTTCAGCAAAATATTTCTAAATTTAGACCAAAATTATTTACTGATTCACTAGTGAGCCCTCAGCCAATCAGAAAAACAGATGACTAGGACATTTTACTCCTCAAGAATGCTGGCTGAAGTGAATTTGCTCTGTAAATCTTCACCCAAATCACAATTAGAAAAAAAAAATAATAATAAAAAGAATGCTGGCTGAAAGTCTCCATAATCTGCTACATACGAGACAAAACAGCTTGTTGGGAATTTCTACATTTAACCTTAGCAAAGAAATCACAACACTTTTAAATTTTGTTCACTTTCATAATATATTTAATATATCTCAAACTGAATTTATGGATATTATTGCTAGGACAACAACTGTGAAAAATCAATGCTGTTAAGAGCATATACTTCAACTGAAATCTTTCCAGAAAATAACTTAGCAATATATATTAATTTTTCTGAATATATATGGAATATGATCTAATAATTCTATTTCTAGGAATTTATGCTAAAAAATTATTAAAAATATGGACAATTACTTATATACAAACACATTCACCTCAGCACAGTTTGAAAAGTAAAACACTGGAAACTTTAATGTCCAAAAATAATTGATTACATAAATTATGGTTGTCCAGTAAGTGAAATACTATGTAACCTTTCAAAATGTTTCCAAAGTACTATTAAAAATATGGGAAAATAAATGCTTTAAATATTAAATGAAACAAGCAAAACTATATATAAACCAAACCCACTGCCAGCGAGTCAATTCCAACTCATAGCAACCTCCACTGGGTTTCCAAAGTGGTAAATCATCTTCCTTCTGCGGAGTGGCCAGTGGGTTTGAACTGCCAACCATCTGTTTACCAGTCAAATGCCTTAGGCACTGCACCACGAGAGCTCCTTAAAACTACATATATATAGTACTAATTTTGATCATATTAAATATGACTAGATACATAAACACTGAGGGATTACTGGGGATTATTTGTTCCATACATTTTTCAAATTTTCCATTTAGAACATATATAACATATGTGATCAGAAAAAAAAAATGTTAAAATTATCACTAGTGATATTTTTTATAATAGCTATTGTTAATAAGACCCAGGCACTGCACTGAGCAATTTATGAACATGTAACTCTCACAACAACCCTAAGAGTAAAGTATCATGTCCATTTGCCAGATGAGCAAAATGAAGATCAGAAAGTGACTTAAGTTACACAATATGCAGCATAGCTAGAATTCAAACACCAAATCAGAATTCTTATAGGAGATCCAAATTTAACACATACACAGTAAACAACGCAAAAGCCATGTGTTGGGAGCTCTGGTGATGTAGTGCCTAAGGCATCTGACTACTAACCAGAAAGCTGGTGGTTCAAACCCACCAGCCACTCCTCAGAAGGAAGGTTGGGCGATATACTTCCATAGTGATACTGCCTCGGAAACCAAAGGAGGGGTCACTAAGAGTTGGGGCCAACTCAACAGCACATAACAACAACAAATCTCAAATTATAAGAATTTTAATAGTAGATAGGTGGCGCAGTGCCTAAGGCATTTGACTGCTAACCAGAAGGTTGGTGGTTCAAACCCACCAGCTGCTCTACAGAAGGATGATGGGGCAGTCTAGTTCCGTAAAGATTTGCCACTTCAGAAACCCAGTGGGGATCGCTATGAGTTGGAATCACTGTGATGGCAGTAAGTGATAGCACTTCCATTTCCAGCTGAACATTTTAAAGTATTTTTTAAAATTTGATTGAAGTCTGAGATTCAGGAACAACTGAGAAAATCTATTGGCTAATTATAAACAATTGTGTAACTTCAGATATATTACCTTCCCAAGTTATTGGGAAATTAATACTGTTTGTGCTCAAGTTAAAGCTCACCAAGTGTGTCACATTATGTAAGCAATACGACTATACAAGTAATACACTTTAGTTGTCATTTCAGTCCCCTTTAAAAAAAGAGAAAAGTTTATTTAATTGGGGTAAACTTCCAACTACTTTTTTTTAGAAATTATAAAGTTGATATCTATGTAAATTCTTTCATTTCATCCTAGTTTATGCAACTAAATAGCCAGTATATTTGGAAATATATGAAGATTATAAAGAGAGATATATACTAAATAAAAATTTGACAACATTTAAAATATTGTAAGCTTTTAATCAGACAACAATAGACTAAATCTAAAAATAAAGTTATATGAGTATAAATTTTTAAAAAATTTGCTGGCTACTTACAGGAAATGGTTCCAATCCTTCCTGAATCACAAAGCCTTCAATAACATGGGTCAAGATCTGTGGTTTAACAATAGCCTGTGGAGGTCTGCTTTCCATGCTGGGAATGCAACTGGGCATAGATGTATTACTACTATTCCTTGTGGTAGCAGCTGGAAGTAAAAGTGGAGGTGGGGGAACAGAAGCATGTGAAGGATCTGATGGAGATTTAATTACTGAAGCACTGACTGATGCCACAGCAGGTAATTCCACTTGTTCTGGGGAAAAAACAAAGGCAGTGGGTTTTTTTTTTTAAACATCTTTAGCATTTTGTCCAGGCAAATATGGAAGAGATTAAAATAAACACTAATAGCAGTAACAGGTAACATCTAGAGGTTTAAAACACTGTTCTGAGAACTTTATTGTCTCAGTTAATCTGCTAAATAACCTTATGAGTTATATAGAAATATTATCCCCAGTTTACCAGAGAAGGGGGGTAAATGTCCAAAGTTATCAGTCAAACCTTAGTTAAAAAGAGCTGTCCCATAGATATGGAAAAGTTTTAGAATGTCAACTTAAGAAAAATTACTAAAATATTTGTTTGTTTTTTGGTTTGTTTTAAGCTGAGAGATATTAAATTCCCTATGTTTCTGTTTATATTTTCCAAATGGTAGGAAAACAGTGCTTTGACTGTATGCTTAAATAAAAAAGGATCATGAAATCTACAGAATAAATGGGGATTTTAATGGGTTACATAAGTCATCATCCTTAATTTCAAGCAGTAAGACTCACACAAACATCAGTTTGGCAGAACACTGTAGCACCAGGCAAGTTCAAAACATTGGGCTGGATCACTGTCATTTCTCCCCTTCAAATTAATATGAACTTATTATAATAAGGTAGACCTAATAGCCCATGATGGAGACCTAACCTACCCAATCAGTGGCACTGACGTTTAACTACCTGTACTGAAGTAGAAAGATGGAACCAGATGATATCTAGGAATATCAGTGAGTACAGATGTCTAAGAGGGGAAGGGGAGCTCATGTATTAAGCTAATAATAATACTAACTGAAGGAGCTCTGGTAGCATAGTGCCTAAGGCACTCCACTGCTAACCAGAAGGCTGGCGGTTCAAACCCACCAGCCACTCCTCAGAAGGAAGGTGGGGCAATCTACTTCCGTAGTGATACTGCCTCGGAAACCCAAGGAGGGGTCGCTATGAGTCTGGGCTGACTCGACGGCATATAACAACAATACTAACTGAACACTTAACAATGTGTCAGATACTGTACTAAATGCCTTATACGTTGAAATTCATTTCATCATTGTAACTAGCCTAGCTCTACTTTACAGATGAGGAAACCAAGACACATAGAGATTAACTTCCCTAAGGGTACACAGCTAATAACTCATGGAGCTGGGACACTAACACAGGCAATCTGGCTCCAGAGACCACCCTCTTAATTGCTAGGCTGACTCCTCTCCATTAGTATGAAGTGGATTGACATCCTCTATCAAAGATGCTCAAAGTATACACCAGTCAGGCAGAAGAGAAGGAACAGGAATCCCTTGAAAATAGAAAAACTGATGAAACAGTGCAAAGACCATCTGTGTAGTCTCAGAAACAGAAAAGCAAAGAGCTGAGAATTAGTAACTCTGATGTGATTAATATCATCATATAGCTTATAACATCAATATTCTAGCCATAAATTGAGTTCCACCAAATAATCCACCAAGATAAGCATTTTCCTGTTGGAATGAAAAAACAAATCTATAGGGAATTGAAACATCATTGCTTACAAATTAATATACTTTGTTACTTTAGAAAAATAAAACTGCTCCCAGAGGTCCCCTTTCAGCCAAAATAGATTGACCTATAAGTTAAAAAGTAACACCTGTGAGGAATGTGCTCCTTAGAACAATGAACTATCTGAGACCAAACGGGCAACATTTGCACAAAAGCAAAGAGGAGACGGCAAGGAGGGCCAGGGAAATGGGAGAGATGGACATGGGGAAGGCAGGGTGGAAATAGGGAGAGCGCTGCTGACACACTGCCAGGACAGCAACCAATGTCACAGAACAATTTGTGAATAAATTGTTGAATGGGAAATTAATATAATATTAATAATATATTAATTATATTGATATAGTAATATAAACTTTCACCTAAAATACAATAAAATGTTTAAAAAAACTATGTTAAGTATAATTTGGTTTGCTCAGAAAATACTGCTTCATGTATATTTTAATTAATTTTTAGATCATATATACAAATTTGCCAATCTTAAGTAATCCTATTTTTTTTTAATAGAGGTATTACACAAACCACAGCCTCATCTACCCTGAGACCAGAACTAGATGGTGCCTGACTACCACTACCAATCATTCTGAGCAGGAACAGAATTAGATAGCCCCAAATAGAAAGGGAGAAAAATACAGAAAAAAATGTGAATTATTAAAAAAAAAAAAAGCCAGACTTTTGAGACTATGGCCCTAGGTGCCCTTTAGACTTTAAAGTGAAACCATTCCTGGAGGGCACCTTTCAGCTTAATAACAGATTATCTTCTGATATAAACAATAACACCCATAAGTACTATGCTTCTTTTGGGGGGAAAAAAATAGAAATATTAGTTACTAACTTTTTGAAGAAGCTAATAGCTCTCATTATTTGCCAGTTTGTAATAAGCTGTTAAATTGAAAACATGAGAAACAATGACGTATTATAGTGGAACACAAGCAAAAGTATTATCCTCTAAATTTAAGACAAGAGCAAGGAAAAAACCCAAATTAACTGATGATGCCTTTGCCAGCAGTTACTTTACTCATAATCTCATTTTCTAAGGAAGATTATGAGATTGTTCCACCTTTTTTTGTAGCTGTTTCTTACTTTTAAAGAATTGTTATAGATTTATGAATACTTAATCCTGATCTGCACTGAACACTTTCCCTTGTTACCCTCCCGAGAGGGACTGGGTCTCCGGGAGCAAGGTAAGCATGGGCGGGCTTGTGCTTACTCACTGATCTGC